GCTTTAGAAAAATATCATACTAACTCATTATTATTATTATTATTATTATTATTATTATTATTATTATTATTATTATTCTTTTTAATAAAAAAAATAACTAACAAGACTTAGACCATGAATAAAATACAAGCTATATAAAAAAAATTCGCTGGAATAGCAGTGGTTGTGACATGATTCATTTACTCAATGATGAAAAGATAAAGACTATATGGCACTTTATTTTAATTTTTGTTTTTTTTTAAAACCTAACTCGGATTTTAACAATGAGTAACCTCTATGTAGGACTGTAGGAGACATACTTTCTATGAAAGATCAACCGAGGCTAAAATGGAAGGCTACAAATACGTCATTAAGCGAGGCGTATGACTAGAACGATGGTGTTTTTAAATAGCAACCCTAAGTACTTCCTAAATGGAATAGAAGGCTTAACTCAACAATATATGCACTCGAATAAAATCTAACGAATAACTCATAATAACACCAAGGTTTTTTACGAGTTAAGTACATATTACTCTTACTTTTACTTGACTTTTCTATCTAACTAATAACAACAACACTCAAACATATTCTGGCCTAGATGACTTTTAACATAAATAAGTACTTACTTGGAAGATGAAGAGCACGTGTACGGTGACAAATGAAGTTACGGGACAACCTGGGCTCTGATACCAAACTTGTAACGCCCCTCTCAGGGTTAAAGGATACGTTACACTAACTTATTACTTTTAAAAATAATTACAATATAACGGCCGTCTATTTAAGAAAATAACCCTGATAAAATCTCAAAAGTAACTAAAACAACTCCAAATAAAAACTTAATAAAATAAAGTTATCACCAGCAAATGTGACAACCACCTGGATCCAGGAATTTATTCAAACATCAAATTCTAAAATAAAATAAAATAATAATAATCTCTTTATTATAAGACTGAATTACTGAGACAAAATAATATCTAGCTAAAAGCCGCCAAGGTCGTTCCCGTTAACTCATCTTGGCACGCGTTCCACTCTCTCATCATCTTCCTAGGCCTTGGCCTTACCCTTAGTATCTGTACATGCGAAGAAAGAAAACTGATAAGCTTTACGCTTAGTAAGTCACTATGGATCCACAAAAATATCTAGAAGTCTATGTCAATTTATCAATAGATAAATTTAGACTATAAGCATGCACTGAACAAATAACTAACACATAACTTCTCAAATACATTTTGAGGGAGATCTCAAAAGAAAACTCTTTTCGAAAATAATTTCTCAAAACTGCTGGAGAGATCTCAAAAAGATTTCTTTCTCAAAACATCTCTGTAAAACTTTCTGAAAGAGATCTCAAAACAACTTTCTGTAAAACTTTCTGAAAGAGATCTCGTTAACCTTCTGTATAACTCTTTGTGACCAATTTTACTCTGTGGGCCCGTGATATGTACTCAATGGCGCCAATCCGATAGCTCAGGGGAGCGACCCACTAAACACATCGGACTCTCTGAAACTGATAACTCTGTAACTCTGTGGGAACTTGTTCCCGAGTACATATCACTTAATCTTTCACTTTAAGTATTAGTTCTTTTTACGGTGACGTTTGGATAAAAACATCATTAAAATCTCGAAATAAAAGTACTGACAAAATCTTGACTATGCCAGATAATAAACATAACTTAATACAGCAATTAAGTATCTCAGCAAATAATTCACCAGGTTCACATAATAGCATATAGTCTAAAATCATCTATCAAAAATCAACCAGACTTCTTTCTTTTATTTGGTTGAACAAACATGTACAGGTGGTAGTGAACTTACCTGTTAGAAGCTGAACTCAAATTACTCAACTAAGTGTGACACCTTGATAACGTCTCCCGGCAAGCTCTTCACTTAAATCTTTATTTAGAATAATCAAAATTTAGAATGTTGTTTTTAATGAGCCAAATAGCTAGAACTTTAAATTTAAATTCCTACTTTAAAACCACAAACGTGATCTTACTGTTAGAATAACTCCAAAATCATCACTTACAAAACCGACCCTTCAAAACATCAAAACCGAAATATGCTCCCCTTTTTTTTTATTAAATCAAATCGCTGGTGTGGCTTAGAAATGCAGGGGGGAATTTTTATACAAGTAAAACTAGAATCTGCTAAAATATAGTTATGCTGAAAAAATAAAGTGTCAATATTTACGAAAAATTGAACTCAGCCAGTCTCAAACTCGAGATGCCTAGTCTGGGATTGTTAAAAGTTACGCCTCGTAATGTAGGACTGAGATACCGCAAAGTTTTCCCTGCCCAAAGCCCTCCTCCCCCTTAACAGACTGAAATCTAAAAATAGAAGCCAACAAAACTGTTTTCTAGGATCACTATGTAAATTGTAAAACAGTCCATCTTCCAGATAAAATCAGTAATTATTTTGTCCTATCTATTTAAATCTCTTTGTGAACCGTTATTATACTCATGGTGTATAGAAGACTTGGAAAATTACACATACCAGACAATGTGGTGACACAAGGAAGAGATGAGCTTCAACAACAGGGTTGAACAAAAACTTTTGGATGAAGAGGCTACAAGGATTTACTGTTATGGGTGGGGAGATGAGAGAGATCAATGTTCGGGTGTTATTTGAAGGATATGAGGCGCAGGCTTAAGAACAGACAAATACTCTTTTTATATTAGGTATTTCTTTAGGGCTTTTAGTTTAAATCGAAATGTTTAATCGGGCCAAGACAATAACTTGATCTCTAATCATCATTAAAGTATATGATTTCAGCCCGAGCTAAAAAAATAAAATAATTTTCCCCGTTTTAAAAAAAACTAATAAACTGATTTACTTCAGAATATTTATTTTCTCCCTTTCGGAATAAACTCATTAAACTATAGAACAATATTTACTTATTCATTCATTTATGATTTATAGAGCTTACCGGTCAACGTTACCTGCCACAAACAAAACATGTTAAATAATATATCACATTATTCATAGAAGAAACTTATCTAACTTACTAAAGTCGATAGTAAAGATTAATATAACTAGCTCGCTAAAACGGGGTGTTACAATTAATCACTTTCAATCAAGAACATGCTCCAGTAATACTAAAATACACAAAGAGCATGCATTCATCAAAGCAGACCAAATCAGACCTGAAATTTACATTGCAATTACAAGCATCCCTAATTAGGATGTTTCGTAAATTTGTAATGGCTTGTTTCCAGTTTCCATGACTAATGGCAAACATTTAGGTGGCTAAAGATGTTTAAAGAGGTATGAATTTAATTTCTTAAAACGGATTACAGTTTCAAGTCTTCAAAAGAAACTATTGAAGATGCTCTAACATTTACTGGATTAGTGTTAAATAAATCAGTTCAAGCTTCCAAATTCCAATTTTAAAGTTAATATCTTACTATTGGAATATTGTTTTTTCTTTTGCTTGAGAAAGTAATTAGTCAAAATGAACTACCAGCTTGATCAAAGAACTAGAATTACTTAATACTACGTATAATATTATTAGTAATAAATGAGAAGGAAGATGTTATAGATAATCACTGGAGTGCATTTTAATATTGCTGCAAATGCGTATGTGATTAGTCTATGCGGGTCATTAGCTTGTCGATGTAGATGATCTTAATGTATGTGTATCTTCTAGTCGGAACTAATGTGAATTGTGTTTAAATCTACTTTGATACGTTTAATTTTACATCTATTTAATTTGAATGAAGACTATGTGAGTTTTAAAGTGTATCCGATTCCATAGTCATGTACCACCTCAAACGAGGATTCGGATCCAAATCCTATAACGATACCTAAACTTACCTATATACTCTGTGTAATTAAACGGAAGAATATTCCAGCTATAACAAATCTCTAGATAGGATAAAATTAGCCGAAAGGCTTAATTTGCTACTATATCCCGTAATCTTTGATTCATTATTTTAACGAATATACTTATGTAAAAGTTAATAAATTTATACTTTTATGATAGTATTTTAACAAAGAATATTTCCATATAATTTTTATATTATCAATATTACCGTGTATAAATATATAATCAATCAATCAAAGTTAAACAACTTTGAATTAGAAAATACTCCCCTCGTCTCAAAATTATTGTCTCGCTTTCCTTTTTGGTCCGTCCCGAAATAATTGTCTCGTTTCTTTAACTTTCTTATTTGGTAAACAAATCTATACCAAACAGTGTCAAACAGTGCCAAATAGTGTTGCTGCAGTGTCAAAGAGTGTCGCTATAATGCCTAACAGTGTCGCTACAGTGCCAAACAGTATCTCTACCGTATCATTTTCTTAATCTGTGTGAAAAACCAAACGGGACAATAATTTTGGAATGGAGGGAGTTGGAAGTAGTGTTTGGCTAAAAAAAGCCACGGAGGGAGTATTACCTAATACTACGTAATTTTAAGGGAAAAATAAATAAAATACCCCAAACTTTGAAGGGATGTGAGGTAAGCACCCCAAACTTGCATATGTAATTTAAGTACCCTAAACTTTATATAAAAAGTTATTTTAGCACCATGATCATGCATTATTTCTTTCAAAAATGTTAATTTTTTGTGTTAATTTCATAATTTAAAATATTTTAGCATTCATGAAGATACAATTAACAGTCTAGACTTCCATTGTAAAATAAATAATACTACCCCAACTCTATATAGTTGGAGCATTTTTAATTTTTTTTCTGAATTATGCAATTAACAACATCAATTTCCATTTTTGAAAAAAGTAATATATGAACATGGTGCTAAAATAACTTTTTATATAAAGTTTAGGGTATTTAAATTACATATGAAAGTTTGGGGTATTTATCTCACACCACTTCAAAGTTTGGGGTATTTTAATTATTTTTCCCTAATTTTAAAGGATTAATTCATTAACCACCTGAGGGTGTTAACGTCGTTTGTTCCCGTTAAATCTGAAAGGTACACTTGTCGAATTCTCATTGGTAATCAGTATTCATCAACCGAATATACCTCGCTAAAATCCCAAGTCTCACACTATAAAACCACCAGTCCGGAAAAACTCGCCGAACTCCACAGAAAGAGTCCCAAAACAACACTATCGTTATGAGCGAGGAGTTGAACCGGAGCTATCGTGTGTGCGAGGAGATCGGACGGGGGAGATTCGGCGCCGTGTTCAGGTGCTTCTCGCCGGAATCCGGCGAATCCTTCGCTGTCAAGTCCATCGACAAGCGCCTCATCGCGCACGACTCCGTCGACAGGCAATGCCTCTTCAACGAAGCCAAGGTCATGCTTCTTCTCTCCCCCAATCCCTACGTCCTCCGGATCTTCGACGTCTTCGAGGACGACGATCACCTCCATCTGGTCCTCGAGCTCTGCTCCTCCTCCGATCTCTTCGACCGTATCTCCGGCCGCCCCGTCTTCTCCGAGGCTGAAGCCCTAGCCGTTATGGTACTGTTCTCCGATCCTTGATTTTTCGTTTGCGATTTTCGTTACGATCGCGGATTGTGTACTGTTTCGTAATTCGTACGGAAAAGTATAAGTTCCGTATATATTGGCTGACTGGCTGAGTGACACCTGATTGATTTTGCTACAGTGATTTTGGCCAAATTCTTCGTTCCAACTTCCAAATTAGGAATTGTTCGTTTTAATTGTAGATTTGTGATTTTTACCTCTGGAAATCTGTTTTTAAAATTAGCTTTTGTTTTGGACGGAATTGCATGTAAATTTCTGATTTGATTTACTGTTTTGGACTTTTGGTCTCAAATCCTTACTAGGTTCCTCTGATGGAGGCGATTCTGCACTGTCACCGGCTCGGCGTGGCGCACAGGGACATCAAACCGGACAACGTACTCTTCAACGAGTGGGGTGAGATGAAACTAGCTGATTTTGGTTCGGCTGAGTGCTTCCGTGAGGGCCAGCTGATGAGTGGAGTGGTGGGGACACCGTACTACGTTGCGCCGGAGGTGTTGGCCGGAAGGGACTACACGGAGAAGGTGGACGTGTGGAGCGCCGGCGTCATTCTGTACATAATGCTTGCCGGAGTGCCGCCTTTTTACGGGGACTCCGCGGAGGAAATCTTCGAAGCTGTACTCAGATCCAACCTCAGGTTCCCGACGAGGATTTTCAGCTCTGTATCGCCGGCAGCTAAGGATCTGCTCCGGAAGATGCTCTGTAGGGACGTTTCCAGAAGATTCTCGGCTGAACAAGTACTGAGTAAGTATACTTGCATTTCCTTCTTCCCCGTACATCAATTTTTGGTACAGTACTTTGAGGCACCATAACTGATAACTTTGCCGTTTTCTCGGCCAAACTTTGACTATAAAGCATGTATAGAAATTAGAATCATCACAATTCCCAAGTCAAGCTTCTGTTTGACCGTAAAGCTCATGTACCCTTCTACTTTTGGGGAATTTGGAATTTTAAGAACGGCCAACAAAGATGTACTAAAAGAAAACCATTCCCAAGACTTTGATTATTCACTTCTCTTAGTCAATGGTTTCCCCCATTCCCACCATTCTTTGCAGTTTGCACCCCCATTCAGTCATTCACACCATTACTCTACGCGTACTATCTATGCACGGGTTATGGTAGGAGTAACTTAGAAAATTTTCAATTTTTTATTGTAAATTTTTTCATTTTCCACGTTTAGTCCACCCCTCTAATATTTAAGTCTAGTATAATTTCTCTTCGGACCAGGAGCAACCGAGCCAGGGCAAGTACTTTTTTCCGCCTTTAACAAGTCAAGAGATTTTGCGCTAAACTTTCATTAAACTACATAGATATCGGTTCAAAGACAAGGAATCTTTATACTATCGTACTTAGTACTTCGTACTATGTATCTTTCATCAGACTTTCATTTAACATTTAATAATAAAACTTTCAAACTTTACACTTCAAGTCTGGGTCGGCTCACTCCTAATCAGAATGACAAAGTAATGGTATCAGTCTACATAACATGTTGCTACTCTACTTCTATAGAAATATCCATAGGTGATCAATATTTGTCAAAAATAAACTGCGAATGTTTAATTAAATTTAGAAAGTAATAATCTAAATTAGAGATTATAGATAAAAAATCAATTAAGAAATTTAACATTACAGTTTTATAAAATGACATGCTAGGGAGTATAAAGATACAATAAAAGTTCAAAACTACTCAAACTATTGAATTGGTTTATCTGGGATACTCCCTCCGTCCCTAAATGTTGTTCCAATTGCAGATTACGAAGGTTGACCGACGATAAAGTTAAATGATCTCTGTGAAAACTCGGATTATTTTTAGTAAATAAAATTTACATATTCAGAAACTACATTAAACCCGCTACAAAGCCTGCAAAAAATAATTCAACTTTTATAAAATTTTGATATAAAAAGTAAGAATTTAAGAGTGATTTAAGTTGACCCTCGATAAGCGAAATGGAACTTCTTTTAGGGACAGAGGGAGTATTAGTTTTTAGATTAACTATGACTACTAATCTAATACTAGAATATATTAACCTGTTTGGTTGAGCATTATATTAACTATTGATGTGGCGGTGGCATGCAGGGCATCCATGGATGACAAGTAACGGAGAAAGCAAGGAGTGACAGTTCTAACAAATTAGCTTATAAGTACGTGCCACATTTTATAAATATATAAATAACAAGCATTGTATATATAGCTAGCTAGATAGTAGTAGTAGTATTAATTACCTGAGTAGTACGTGGCCAATGGCGGGCTTGCGGTGCGAGAGAACAGAGCTGATTTATGAGTGCTCTTGTTTGGCTTGCTAAAAGCTCAAGAAACGTGGCTGGAGCAAGGAAGAGTGGTGGCAGAGTGGGCAGTGATGATGCTGCATTGATCTGGTCACCCCCCTTGGATTTTAATGTACTGATGATGGGATTTCAATGCAGTTTTCTACTTCTTAATTATTGCTGCGCCCTTTATATTTTATTTATTTGCATCCAAATATGAATCCCAATTAGTTTTTAAAAGATGCCCATTTTTACTTGGTGCTCATGAATGAAATGGATGAATGGTACCTAGTTATTCGTGTTAAATGAATCAAAACAATATCTTAACTATATATAAATGTTATGTTTTGGTATTATTCAAATTTTGAACCAAATATCACACGTGACGGTAGCTTCTCTAAACAGTTCTGCTAATCGTTTGAATGTCAGATATGATAGAAAAAATCTAGGGCATGAAAGTATGTTATTTAATTTTACTCGATCGACCTAGCTTCAAAAGTTGTTTCATTTTATCAATTCACTAATAATGAATGGTTACCACGAATTTGGCATTGATTTATCAATGATTTTATGTTAAATAACTCGTGTCAAAATGCTTAGCTTTTTGCGTATTCTATCATTTCCTCTATGAATTTTCGCGAATTTTTGAAAAAAAAATTCTGCCAATCCAGTATTTTTATAGTGAATTACTCCGTTTAAGGATACTTTTATTTTGACTGTTTTCAATCCCAGATCACACCAAACATAAACAGATCAAACCAGACTATACCAGACATAAGCAAACTAGACCAGACTTCCATAATTTTAAAATACATATAGATAAAACATTTACCAGATGAGACTATCAAATTTTAATGTAAAAAATCCTAACTTAATTAGGTTCATAGCACAAGAGTTTATTACTATACCCAAGATCCATTAAATACCGCCACTAACGCCAATATATCACTACAAGAACTTTCGTTTTTAGTATTGGAAAATTTGTGAATAAAACTGGGTCAGTAACGACTTTATCCCAAGATTCCTTCATTCCTTGATTCTAATTTAGTACTCGACTCCTCGCGATTCCTCGCTACTTGATTATGGACCTTAAAAACTATCTTCGTGCTTGGTGTGTTCAAGAAACTAAGTTACTCGATGAGTTTTATACTACGTATGTGATTTTAGTAAGACATGCATTACAATTGAAATATTCAAAATAAAATTTGGTCATTATTATTATGAAATTAAAATAATTTAAGGACTTCATTTGGATAAAACAGGATCTTATGATTTTAGTATTTAGTAAAACTACTCCGTATAATTTTGTGTTTCAAACATTGAACAAAATGAAGATGATGATATTCTTCAACCCAAATTGATGATTAGTTTAGGATATAAAAAAATTGAGCTAAGAGCATCTCCAATGATTGAACTTGAGGGTTTACTTGCAATAAAATGAAGCATTACTTTTCATTTTGCTTGAAAAACTAATTAGTCAAAATGAGCTATTAGTTTGAGCAAAGAAAATTACTAAATATTACACTCTTATTAATAAATGAAGAGGAAGATGGTATTGCTAACTGCTTATGTGGCTAGTCGAGGGTAATTTACTAAGTGTTTGAGATGCTCTAAGGTGAATGATGTGATATTCCATTTTGTTTATGGTTGATGTGAATCATGTGATATTCCTTAATTAAACTCTTTATGAATTATGTCCGTTAACTATTTTCTTTTATTTCACTCGTTCCATACTTAAAAAAGCTTCAAGTATGTTTTTCATGGAGAATAAGAAAAATATACTCCGTATGTAGGTAAACGAGATAGGAAAATCAGGGAATAGTCGAATAAAAAGGTAAAAAGGCTAATAACAGATTAATCATAAGCGTGTAATTATTTTTTTTCTAGAATGTGACACCATGAAACTTATAAATTAGCTAATAATAAAGGCGAATAACAGATTAGTCCTCAATTCCATGTCCTAATAACCACTCCCCTTTCATCGTGTAGCTAACAAGTAAGCATTATTCAGACCAGTCTTCAATTATATGTCCTAATAGCTGACAATGACTCATTTTTAAATATTTTTTAATCTCCCTAAATTTACTCAACATCAAAAGGATAAAGCTAGAATAATACTAGTACAAATTTGGTGGAGGGACAGATCAAACAAATTGTAACATAAAACAAAAGGGAGGAAGTCCCTATATAGGTCAGTTCCCTTTCATCTATCTATCCATTAAATATACTCCCTCCGTTCCAAAAAAATGTTCCCACATTGATTTGGATCGCAGTTTAAGAAAGTGGGAATAAAGTGGAAATGTATGGTTGTGGTTGTGTAAGAAAAAGGTAAATGAATGTGAACCACACAAAATTTTCCAAAAGGGGAAAGTGGAACAATTTTTTGGGGCGGAGGGAGTAAATTCTTTTTGTATATTAGGACCGGTTCTCTTTGTGACTGTTAGTGGTATGGTGGGATTGGTGGGTCTGATTAATTTTATTTGACCTAGTTTGTCATTAGTAAATTTTGGATGGGATTTAGCTTAGAACTTTCCAAAATAAGAGGGTAAAAATGTGATACCTCAAAGCATGAGTAATTGTTTTCTCTACATAAGAACAAATAGAGCAACCCCGATATTTACTGTCAAGCACTATTTACTTCTACATAACCGAAAATATGTTGCACTTCTATTTTGATAATTTTAGGATAATTTTTGTACTATTACCGCTGTAACCTCACTTAATTTAACTTAGATTAATCTAGCTAAAGAGAATTAATCCTAGCTAGCCATTTTTTACTTTTCACGCTTCTATAAATATAAGGTTTAAAGAAAAATACATTTGACAAACTGTTTCACGAACTCAATTTTTATTACGGAATATAAGAGTAACGAGACAGCATTTGAAATTGTACAAAATAATGGGTCCTGGTTAGAAAAGCTTCGCATTCACTTGCTAATTTTTTTCTTTTACTTTTCTATTTTCTAAATATAATGCTGGATAATATGTTTAATAAACAAAGTTCTCAATTTTAGAAAATAATTAACTAGTATCCCAATTTTATACGGAATTACGGAGTAGTAAACTAGAAGGCATATTTTATATTTTCCAAAATAGAGAAGTGGAGAACAATATTTCAGATTTAAGGCCATTTTTACCATGCACATTCTCAATTAATAACAAATGGAGAATGAAAACAAAATTTTGGTGGTAAAATCTAGCAAAGGGGCACTGTGTTTCTTGTTTTCATTTTATATGAAAAATGTTTTTGGACACAATTATCAGATGCATGTAAATTTGTTTTAAACGAAAAATAGATGCTTCACAATAAATAATCTCGTGACAAAATAATTTTGAATATTTCTAATTCCTGAAAAAATAAGACCGGACAAGCTGGTTCTGATTATGGCATCGGGTTTTCAAAGGTTACGCTAACGCGCATAATTATCCTAAACAATCCATTCTACCTAAACTAGACCCATATTACCAATTGCGATTGCAAGAGTGATGCTTGGTGTACTTTTCTGTACACATTTCGCGCACTTATTTGTGCACGCAGACAATTTTTGAGCAAACATACAAAATAGAAAAGTATACACAAAAGTGTAAAAAAACGTGTACAGACATTGCAATGTCTCCATTAAAGAGTTAAGGGGAACCTGGTCAATTTACAATCGAACCAAAGCCAACATTTATCCACGGTCCAACCCCTACAATTTATAAATCATATTTTTTGTTTTTTAAGAATTTGAAACAAAAGTGGATTTCTCATCCATGAAAACAAAAAAATGTTAAGTTAAATTTGTAAAATATCAATTAGTCAGATAAACTCACAAGTCACAAACATGTCCAACAAAACAATGTTAAGTTAAATTTGTAAAATACGTAGTATCAATTAGTCAGATAAACTCCCAAACATGTCCAAACATGATGCACGAAGAAGGTAACTTTGATCAGAACCAAAACGAAACCAGTCCTTGGGAAGAACAAGTACAGGTCTGGAGTTTTGGACTGATTTTTGGTACTTATTCTGATCCAAGACCAAATAACTGGCCTGTTTTCGGTGCAAAAAATAAACTGCCCTACTGGTTTCGCAACTCCACGGGGAAGGCAAAATGAAAAAAGAAATAACAAACACAGCTGCAAAAGGAGTATAAATCAGTCTTAGATTACTCCATATTGGATTATTGTCGCCACCTATTAGAGAATAATAATAAACTAACACAATGGCTTATGTAGTACGGAGTAGGAGTTATAGCTACAAACTTTTTGCATAGTAAGATTAAATCATGAATATGTTTTACGATTTCAGTGCTTTTAAAAGGGGTCAGTGAAACCATTTGTACGGTCTGGCTTATGGCTAATATTTTTACAGACGCAAGAACACAACACAAATCATTACATCACTTCTGGGAAGAGATTACTGTATCTGTCCCTGGGGGTAGGGCTTCACCTCCCCAGAATCCTTCTGCCCACGTTTCCTTCATCCTCTACCAAGAAATGACTGCAAACAATAAGATCATTCTGTCAAAATAAAAACACAGAAGATGAAAAGAAAACAGTAAGATTGGAGCCAAAGCAAAATATATGATAAAGTGACTATATTATCCCTTGGGAAGCACAAGCAGTGTCTGTTTGCTCAAAAAGTGTTTCTGATTGTCAGCAAGACTTTCTACTCAATACTAACTTATTTAATCAGATGGTCAAATAGGCTGATGGTAGAAAAAAGTGCTTTGGTTCAAAGGAATGAAAAGGAAGAGAACACACTTGTAGGAGTTGTAGCTTTAATATTTCAGGTATTAATTCATTACATTGTGAGGAAATACTCTGTATATAGTTATATACTTTTAGGCGATTTGTCTGATTCCACCCGAGTTTCAGAAGCTTCAGCCAATTCAACTCCTTTGCAGCTATTTCAGCCAAAAATTATCCTTACCAAACAGGCTCTCAATATGATGCGGGGGTTTTGTCTGAGTTGGATTGTTTAACAAAAATCCTACAGAGACAATAATACAGACCTACACTATTCACACAACAATCATAAAAAATTTGAGCCAAGGAGAAGTTTTGCTTTTATCTACCTAGGCAACTCAAACTTCATATTGTAGTCATAAATCTACAGAGTAATATATAAAGGGATTGATTTTTGACAGATAACTAACTAACTCAAACAATTAGGTCCCTCGTTACAAAATTACTGCATCAGTTACATGCCATAAAATGGACCCCTAGTTGTGCTAATGTCATGAAAATAAATACACCGTTGACTAGAATCATAGTCAAATGTAATAGATAAGTTGTTAAAAAACACA